CAATGCACGTTTACGGAATAACAAACATAACTAAAGGGTTATCTGATGGTTTGCTTCGTGCTTACAAAAAACGTCTTTGAAAAATATATATAAATAAAAAAAGTCCTATCCCTTGGTAAAATTTTAAACAGTTTATTTTTTTAATATAACAAGAAGCTGGCGTTAATTAATTAACATCGCGACTCGGTTAGGTCAAATGAATTGAGATAAAATGTGACTTTTTAGTAAAAAAAAATTACAAGTAAATGGTTTTTCGACAGTATCAAGATGAATTCACTGATGATAATAACGTTGACTTAATAAAAACGTTAGCATATTTGAATATTAATTGAATATAATGTAAGATTTTTGATCAAATTTCATAGATGATTCTTAAATTAATTTTAATAATTGCTTTGACTGTTTCAGTTGTAGATATAACTTGAGTAACGGGTAAAGATATGAGTAAAATCCATTCTGCATCATATCATGGCAGAGATATTTCGTTATTCGCGTACATAACGCGACAAAACCATACAGCAAAGGATTTTCTTTGCACTGTACTGTCGGTATGGTTTTTGATCCCCGTTGCTTTGCTAAGATGAGACTACAGCGATTTTTCCAATCTCCGTCTCTCCTTTCTTGTCGTGATTAAGAAATGCGAACCTTCGATGTCAAAGGTGAACCCGGCCAGGCTATCATTTGTCACGCCTTTATGTTTTTTTTTCCTTTAATGACCATGAAACACGGATATAAGTTTAACGTTACCATAATGTATACTGTTACAAATATTTTAATTCGCAAAAAAATATATATTGTTTTTCAAACGAAACAAAAAAAATGGCATATTCCGTTTGAAATTTGACTTAAACGAAATAATAATTTCGTAGCTTAATTAAAACGATTATCCAATTTATTACAATAAGGATGTATTGTGTACATACTCGTAAAAATCTCCTACCAAAATAAACCAGTAAACAATAATAAAAATAAAGCTGTTTTCTGTTTATCCCATAAGCGTTGTTACTATCAGCATATTGAATTTTTCTACAACATAAATTGTGGCAGTAATAAAAACAAATGGTCTCCTTTACATAGCGCTCAGGTAGCAACGATATTGGAAAGATCTCAGGAATAACATATCAAGTTATCTACAAATAAAAAGTATTTTCTATATTAAATAAATATATAGAATTAATTGTGTAATGATAATTTTATTATAAAGACTATATATAACAATGTTAGAATGGATTTTGTATTAAGAACAATAGGGAATCTAGATTGGTGATTCAATGAACAGACCATGAAGAGCCAATTACAGAAATTTCCAACTCGGTATCCTAAAAGGCGGCTAATCGTTTGGTAACAGAATGACGCATTCATTCATTAGACTCAGTGGGTCATATTATTACCTCATGTATCATCTCGTAATAGGTTGAAATTTAACATTCAAAAGGGTCTTTTAGTTCATAGTAATATTAAAATTAAATATACCAGGAGTATTAAGGATTATGGATTTTGTACTTAAACAAAATTATTACTATATGTACATAGTGTAATTAAATACATTTATTTTCTTGAAGATATTTCTTTTATATTTACCATTAAAACTTAATAGTATTTGTCACAGTAAATAGAACGCAAGTTATACTTAATCAATAAATATATAATTGTTGAACATAACGACAAAAGCAATATATCTCAGCAAGATAACTTGACTCTGGATTACGCGAAATTGCTCTCACAGTTTACGAGGTTTTACTTGAAAACAGATTAAAATGCAGATCCCCGCTGGGTTATTGCAACTGGAGATATCTACATACAAACATTCATAGATAACTTTTATATTGTATTATTATTTTTATCTGACATTTAAATTGGTTTACCAACATTATAATATTTTCTATACAATCTATGTATTTTTTTCGGTATGCACACACATATACTTTACCTACATTTAGTACTACAAATTATATATTACAAAGCGATCGAAAAGTTAAGTTAATTTTTAACCACCTTAAATTAATTTCAAATCTCTATTTATAAGACAATTTTGTAAACAAAAGTCATTCAATTTAACATTAAATAATTCCATCACAACTAAGTATTCAGAAAAATGATCAAATAACGCGTACATAACACACAGCATCAGGCTATCAGAGCCCACTGCTGAGCAAAGGCCTCTTTCTAACATGGAGAAAACACACAGAGTTTCATTTAATTCATACGTATTTTTTTATTAAATCATTGATAATATATGGGGTAGGGTATAGGTGCGGTTGATTCACACTAAACAGGATCTGGGCTCTATTTGTGCGCTGACGCATTCATCTGTGAAGCCCTGCCCAATTCATAATAGATCCTCGATAGTCGATAACATATATAAACGATGAAAATAATACCAATACGATCACTATATTTACATGAAAAATATATATAAGGCTTTTCTTTCAATGACACATGATTAAATACTGTATTAAATTCAATTCGAATTCTTTGTGTTAATATACGTCTAATTTAAAATTAAGTAATTAAAGGATATTTTATTAAATTAATTTTAGTCTTGATGACAATTAAAAATACCCAAATATTAGATACTTGACGTCAATATTACGAAAAAAGCCTTTACTCTCGATTAACAAGAGAAAAAATCACTATGTATGAAATACTTATTCTACCTATATTATTTATTACTGTATTCGAGAAGCATGTTTTTGTCGTATGATTCCAGTGAAACATATTCACGCAATGATTACTCGTCCCTTAGGCCACAAAGTATAACACGAAGGTAAATTAAATCATGTAATTTCAAACATTGAGCTTCCGTAATTAAAAACGATAAGATAAAAGACAGTAAGGTCTAAAAGGATTTTAATGAAATTATAAAAGAGTTACATAACATACTTAATAATCATATGAAAGTAAATATATTGTTGTTTTAAATTAATTCTGCATACTATTGTTCCGATGCGATGCGTATTAATTTATTGACTATACTGTCGCCTCGAACTCTTTTTAATTTTAATTAAAATTTCATGAACCGACTTTATAAAAGTTAATTGTTCTATAAATATATTTTAAATGACCACACCTATTATTGATTATGGAAGAGAATTTTAAAATGTATTAAAGACGTTCTAATAAGTTTAAACTTTTCATTATTATCGGTTTCTCCTGTAAGTTATATTGAATGAAATATATTTATATATACTTATATAATATGTCGAATCCATATTACCTGATTATTTTAGTATGACACTAGTCTAAATCCGTATGAAGTAGTTGCCAAGCCAATTGGCAGGCACCTGGTTGATTCATTTGGCCTGCTTATCTTACGAGTATATTAGTATCTTCTTACTTTACCAAGGTTTTGGAATATTGTTATGTGTATACATAAAAGGCGTTTATAATTAACCTCGATCATAATCCATAGTACATATAACCATGAATAATTTATAATGTAATCACTACAACCGCGTTCCGATCACAGTTATTATAAATTAATGCTGTTATTTAGCGTAAAATATTGATATAACAGAAACAAAATACTCGAAGATATTTGATTGACATTTGTAAAGGTCGTCACACACGTCTGGCTTCTAATAAAATAAATATTTATACAAGTGTTTAAAATGTCATTAAGTTTCATTTAAATTGGAGGGAATATATTTAGTTACTGTTAAATACGTTCAATATAAAATATATAGAAAATTGTATATTTTAAATTGATTAAATGTTTAACATGTTACTGCAAGTTGGTTAAATACAATATCTTCCAAGATATTTAAATTTATTCTCAATGTTGGACTTCAGCAAGAATGCGAGGATACTTATTATAATATTTTTTGGAGTTGGAATCAAACCGAAATACTGTAGTATACAATAAACATATTATACTGGTGTTAGTTTAAACTTATCAAATATGGTATAATATAAAGAAAAAAGTCGTATAAATGAATAAAATTGTAGACTAAAATGTATAACAATAATTACTTCGTATCAAAAGGTTTATTCAAAGCTAGGCTTTACAAACTTTAATCAAACTCAAATAAATGTTGAGTGAGAGAGAAATTCCAAGATATACAGTCCCAAATTCATCGTCTCGAACACACAAAGTATATTGTTTGATTATTCTGACCGTGGCTTTCACCGCGAACATTCAGTTAGTGTTACTTCAATATTTACTTAACGTCGGAGTGACGCATCCCTTACAGCCTTCACCTTATAAACAGTTTTCTTATCATTTGCACCATATAATATTTAATATTTACAATATATTATGTTTAATATATTGTAAATATATATTATGTGGTGGCCTAATGGTTAAAGGGCCCGCCTCTCGTTGCCAAGGGCGCGGGTTCGATCCTGGCCCGGGTAAGTACCAATGTGACTTTTTCCGAGTCATATGTACTTGCTAAGAGTATTTAGACACCACTGACAGATGGTGAAGGAAAACATCGTGAGGAAACCTGGACTTATAATTTAAAAAAAAGATTACAAGTTTGAAATCACCAACCCGTTTCGTGCAAGCGTGGTGATTAACGCTCAAACCTTCTCCATGTGAGAAAGAGGCCCTGCTCAGCAGTGGGCTTCAATAGGCTAAAAAAAATGTTCAATATATAATTAGAATAATTATTTGATAATGTTCTATCTGTTATTATCGTATCATCACTGATAATTCAGTTGATTGCAATTTTCTTCATTAATCGACCTTCATCTTACCGTCACTTGATTTCTCTGTTCTACTTAAACAGATTACAGTGTCAATATTCTGTATAAATATATATGTATAAGTAATTTTATCAAAATTTATAGTGTATCGCAGAATATTATTTTCATTTCCGCATATAATTTAACTTAAAATTAATCACTTCGAGATAATGCTTCTTACGTACAGACAACATTGTTATCTTGTTCTGATAACACGACCACTGAAAAGGCGTGAAAAAATCGGTTTGAATTTAATAAATAGGATACATTATATTTAATTATAGTATTTGATGGTTTTGATTGATTTGCAGAGACCGTGATGATCGCACCTACATTCAAGGCGCGTTCTTCGTCGCCAGGTATCGGTTTGAGGCTTGTGTTTGCTTAGCCCATATATTAGTACTAATATAGTGTCCCATCCTCCCATTGATATACCTCAATCGATGTCACAGTTCAAAACGAAATTCCTACATGTACATATATCATATAAATAACACACTAGTGTCTGTGCTACGGACTGTTAATAATGAAAATGTCAAGCTCGGAAATGACAAAGAATGATAAAATTACCATAAGAATGGTATTAGCCTTGTAGTTCTATCGCTCGTGTGTTAAAACTAGGAAAAAAACTCGATATACAACATTATATGACTGGCTTTGTAAGAAAAGGTAAGAATCATATTTATCTGTGTATATTTTTTAATATCAAAATGTTTCGGGTAAACAATAAATCCATTATATATTTGATCAATATATTAGTTAGAATATACAAATTTCGTTATAGGCGGTATTAAGGGGTGACAGATTGGCATTTTTTTAATCTATTAGACGTTAATGGACATTTTTTTCGGTTGTATTTACTTTGATAATAATTCATAAATCGGTGCGTGTTTGAACTTTTTATGGACTAATGTTTTTTGTTTGATTTCGTATGTCTGCATGTTTCGTTGTTGTTTTAACTCTAACATGTGTTTAACATTATAAGTTACTTACCTATACATTGAATGACGTGTATTTACAAAATACAGACAGAAATGTCTCAAATTTTATTACTTTAATATGTTTTTAAATATAAAGTATCGGTCAGGGTCACACACAGTTAACTTGATCTATTTAAATATTGAAATCTAAGATAATAAATTACTCTACAATTGAAGGTCGAATAAGTATTATACTATATTACCTGTATTTTAATATCTATGTATTCAACTCTATTTAAAATATTTACTAGTAAAACAGAAGTATTTTTCATTACGTATAAAGCAACTAGTTCTATCTTTTACGATCTTTACAGTAATTTTCCTTTAATATATATAATCAAAAGTATTATACCATAAAAGTGACCTACATGACACAATTTACCAGTAATGATAAGTTAAAAGATCATAAAAAGGAGGCTCATAAAACGACCATTAGCATTTCTTTATTACAGGGGACTTTACGATCGTATCCTGAAGGGTATGAATGGAATGTAAAATATTATAGTGTTCTTTCATATCATTATTGATAAAGTTTTGTTTAAACATTGTTTTCAAATGTATCGTGTTTGTCTTTTCGGTAAACGTAAATCAATTATGTACATTGCTTTTGAATTTTACAGTTCAGTATACAAATCTATTGCTGAGTTAACTTGAGGTGTGTGTAGGTTTTGAAAATAAATGTCATAGTTTTACTTAAGAAAGTGTATTAACAGTTTTCGTTTGTCTTTAAGTATTTAGTTGACGGTATCAAAATGAAATCTATTTTTAACATGAAAAGAGAAAAATACGAAAAGTTGCAGCCCCATATAGTACAGTTATAAAATTTGTAAGGACATGCTCTGTAAGTTTAATCTTTATAGAGCGATTTAAGAGTTTACTACGTATTACATTATAGGATTACATGAACACATTTTTCACAGCAAAATTTCATTGAGATTCTGAATGCATACTTTTGATAAATGCTGTCATAAAATAAAAAATTGAATGTTTATACTAATTAATTAAAAGAAGTCATAGTAAATCAACTATTATAATACAAAAAGTAGAAAAAATTACAAAAACAGCAATATTAAACCAAAGTCTGAATGAACAGATGTTTTTCGATTCCTTGTCACAAGGTCAATATTTTATCAATTATTCAAGAGAGACTAAACTGCGGTCTAGAGAAATAGAAGTTGAAATTATACATTTGTTATATAGTTTGTTTTTTTTGTTTCATATATTATATCAAGATTACCAAAACAAAATTTTGATAATTTGAATTTATAATAATAATTTGAAGATATTTAAAATCATATTTAAATCATGCTCATCTCGCGATTTGCCTGTTCTTTACGAAGTATAAAAACAATGCATACATAAATTGTTATGAATATCCAATTACATCATTTTTTATGTTAGAAAAATAACAATAAGTTATAAGTGAAGGAAGTATGTAACAAACAGATCTTTATAGGGAAAACCTCGAAGAAACATCTTTCGGGACATCGAACGTGTTGAAAAAATAGGCACGTAGCTAGAATTACGTCAAGTAAATGATGCAAGGGTCATATTAAGGGACAATAATGTATGGCTCAAATATGTTAAAATTAATGTGTTCTTGTTAGAAAATGGTAAAGTTTTGAAGAATCTTTTGATTTTGTTGGTCAAATTTTAAATACAAATTAAAAAGAAGAGATAATTGATGTTCGTGATTCATATAAAAACTCTTTTTACAAACCTTTTCAGGTGTTAAGCTTAAAATGCCATGATTCGAGGATCAGGGCAGCCTTATACGTATAACATTTATTAATAAACATCATAGTATAATAAGATCTTTGTGTTCTAGATGGTTTTAAACTTTGTATACATTTTAACGAAGGACTTACGTGAATATTACGGCTATAACGATGTCTGTAGGTAGTTAATAGGTGTTGTAGATACGTACAGGATACGGAGCAACACTGATCTCTTGTTATCTGATATACTGATGGAGATATATGAGGTTTGTGCCTTGTTTAATAGTTTTTCTCATACTAACTTTATACAAAACTCATTTTTTACTTAAAGAAAAATGAATACAAAGAAATAGAAGTTTAGTTTCTATCAATAAATATATGCGTTCCCTAGAGACAAACACAATATTCTGTCATAGGTAATGTATAGGTTTTAATGTGTTCTCTAAATAGATTGTTTATTTAAATGAATTTACAACATTAGACAGTACTATTTTATCGTGACATTCGATGTTCAATATCACGCAGGTCGTAAACTTGAGGCGGTCGTAAAAGGCGTCAAGGACTCAGTTAGGCCAAAGTTAATAGAATTTGTTCTGTTTAAATACAAATTTCAGATATCCAAATTGAAATTGAAATGATTGGATTTTGTGAATTATCTTTTGTTATAAAAAAAAACGGTACTGAAGCTTTTAGTGTGTCTAAAGAATTTATTTATTTTAGAATTGTTTTGTAATTTTATTTATATATACTTTTCCTATAATATTCATTTTTTTAATAAATATTCTTTAAAAGATTAAGACTGGGTTTATGACTAGTGACAGAATCTCTAGGAAAATGTGAAGTGACTTGTTATAAGTAGTTTTTAAAATATGAAAGCATTAAGCTTCTAAGATTTTCTGGATATAAAAATGCCTTCAATACTCTTTTCTTAGAGAACATTCCTTTATTTGCTTCATATATTCATTGAAGTATATGAAACGATAATCTTACTGAGTTAACAATCCTCTATCTATATACATAATAATTATCACTGATATGTAGTTTGTATTGCTTCAAGGGCAACTTCGAGACACGACAAATTGAATTGTCTACTTAAATGTTTGAACACCATATATATTAACTCAATATTTATATTATAAGAGGTTTATACGTGTTATTCCAAACTATAGTTCAATTGAAAACTTTTGGGTAAAATAATTAAATATATCTACAGTACGTATATTTATATAGACTAAAATTATTACGCCATAAAAGAGGTATCAAGAGAACTATATGGTAAAAAGACACGATAGATGACAATTTACAGATACATTTGAAATAATTCATTATATAAATATATCAGATTTCTCTAAAGCAAAGAGTATACAAAGCTATTAATTTTTAAAGCGACTTTTATCAAATTTAGTGATCAAATAATAGGTATACATTGGAAAAATTACTGACACAGTACATTCCTCACATTCAAACTTCACAATGAAACGAAACACAAGATAAGCCAATAAATGTTTCACATTTCGAAATTCATTTTGTTCATACATATATCAGTTAAATTATATTCTTAAAAAATATAAAGTCGCTTTCACATTAGCGTTATTTCGGTGCCTATATTCGAAATAAACCTGCAAAATCTAGCTGCGTTTACGCGTCACTTGTTATCGGAGCCAATGCGAGTAAAACGCTATAAAATGGACGTCAATCTGTAAGGGCACTAATCTGGGGGTGGTGTCCCAGCCCCATGCCATGGGGAGACCCCATCCCACCCCTGTATTGTCACGTCAGCCCGTGTTGATGAACTTTTACTATGCACACCATTCTGTACTGTATTGTACTCGATTTTAATGTCTGTTTGATCTTTATCCATTTCATTTCAAAGTTTAATGCACTCTTAGTGTGAAATAGTATTAAAAGTGGTCGCTTTGTATACGTTTTGAGCTGCATTTTATATGAATTTAAATATATATTTTTTTGTTCAGGAAGGAGATTTTCTAATCTATATAAAATAAAGGGATGACTACTTCAGTTATTGCTTTACATTTAGAAATGAAGACTGAATGAAGTCTGATAACTCATTTTTCCTCTGAAGACATCCTACATATATTCAAATAGATGTTATCACGTAATTCATATTTTTGAGTACTTCTGTCATTCTAATAAGGAAATAGTGGTCATACATGTATTGGTGATAACTAAATATTCCTCTTTTTATATTAATGAATGTTATATTTGCAAAATATTTTTTTGCCTGTACTGACCCTGCTGAGAAGTGTAAAGACCTTTTGGCTACCTATAATAAGAATCAACTGCTATAAAATTTGCTACATTCTAAGATCTATTAATAACTTATGAAAGCAAAACTATTGATTAAAATTTTTGTACAACGTATTTTGACCCCAGCAAAGTCTTTGAAGTATTCAAGAAAAAAATCGGTCCATTTTGGTGTCTGTATACAGACAAATATTATTGCAAGATATATGAGGGATTTAATATTACTGTGTTTTCTCATATGTAGTCCTTTAGTTGTTTTGTTGCGGTTATTCTTTCTTTGAAAGAAACTTATCTTCCAGCTTAATAGATAAGATTTAAGAATGAATTTATTGGATATATGCAATTTTTAAAATAGAAGAATATTAAAAATTACTAGTTAGTAAAACTTATTTAAGG